TATTAATTTAATCTATTTTCATTATGAGTAAATCAAAAATAAACAGGTAATACTATAGGCATTAAAGTTAATAATACTGATTTATTTCAGTTAATAAGTATACTAATAAATTAGTAAAATTGTCAGTAATTGTTAGGATTGATTCAAAATTATCTTTAGATTACTAATTTATAATATAATATCTATAAAAGTAAGAGCAAATACTTGTGTTGATAGAGAACTTATTATATTATTATTAATATTTAGCTACTATTTGGCTAATAAATTATAGCCTAAAGTAGTATTTTAGATACAGTATAGTAAAGGGTCATAATATATACATTAAAATATAGGTGAAATAATTTTACTTGATCAATACTAAAAATTACTGAATAATGATCAATATTTCCATGAACTGTAAAAATTTGGTTAAAATAATTTAAAATAATAAAGTAATGAAATAGAAGAAAGAAAAGGAAAGCTTTAAATGATTAAGAGTGCAGATTAACATAGTAATATTAATTCTGTCATAAGTTTTTAATATATCTTAAAAGAGAATTCAAAGTTATCTGTTCTTATGAAATAGGTAATCATATTTAATATTATTGAGAATATGTATTAATTCGAATGTAAAGTAAAAGGGTAATCTGATAAAATTATTTTTTTTTAAAATAAAGTTTTTAGATAAGATATTTAGTAATCATTTATTAATTAGTTTAATTACAGTTTTATGAAAACATTTTAATAGTGTTATAGGACAAGTATTATTTAAATTGTATTTTTATAGTTTAAGCTTTGAGATTAGATATATGAAAGCTAAATTCCATCAGTTAGACATATAGAATAATTTAAGATAGGTATAAATAAAGAGCTAAAATATATGTTTTATCTTAGAGCTTAAATGTTTTAGCATTTAATTTGAAATTTTTGAAGGTCAGAAGCCTTGTTGTTAGGTAATGTTTGAAAAAGTTTATGCCATTTATCTTCAATTAGTGAATTTATTAAATTACTATAATTTTGAGGATTGATTGAATTGAAAGATCATCAAGAAGTAATACAAAATAGTATTTAATATTAATTATTTGTTAAAAATACCTATTAGTTTTATATTTAACATCTTTAGCTAAGATGAGCAGACTAAAATCATTTAATGAGTTATTAAGGTATCTATTAAAAAATTATTATTACCTTTGTCTATTAACAATGGAATCATATATTTTAGATGATTATCATAAAAGTTATCATATTAAAGTTGATTTGTATTTATCTTCTTCTAACTTAATAGTAATTATATAGATTTTAAGAATATTAGTAATATTTTTTCAAACTTTAATAAAGTCAAAAATATGAGAATCAAGTAGTTTTATCTAATTTAAATTATATTCTATTGAAATATTGAACATATTGTTATATGCTTAAAGCCAATTATGACAAATATAATTTATACATATATATTTTTTAGTAAGATGATATAATTTCTATATGGAAACTAGTTGTATAAATTTTTTAATAAGTGTGATTTTAGATCACATGAATATTAAGAGGATTAGTGTAATAGAATATATTTCTTTATAGTCTTTTGATACAACTTTACATAAGATCCAAAAAGAAGTTAAATGCAAATTTTAGTAAGAATAAGGTTGAATAATTAACAACTTTTAAGAAAACTATCTATCTTTTTATCAAACTGATTCTAAGATTAAGTGTTTAAAATCATATAGGTAAATTCTCTTTTTAATTTAGTTTTTATTACTATATAAAATATTAAGTTCTACTATATTGATATTAATTGAGATAATTGAATGATCAGATATGTTGAAATTAATATCAATGGTTTATGCTTTATTGAGATCTATTGTGATTTGTGATATAACATAAATATGATCTATTCTTATTAGTTAATGGTTAACAGAATAGTAAAAGAAAGAAAATTATCAGTTAACATTATTATATAAAAGATCAAAGGTATTAAAAAATTATAGGTTATCAAATTGTGTAAAAATAAATTAGCATTTGATATATTGTTAAAATAACTGAATATACCGTTAACATTACTTATTAAAATAATTTTCATGTTAAAATTATGTGCTGATTTGATAACATTGTAAATATCTTTATAGGTTTGTTTCTGAAGGGTTGAGTTTAAGTTTGATATATAACAGTTGATTAGTCTGATGCGAAATTTATTTTGAAATTAAAAGTTAACAAATATATAATATTTGTGTTGATCGTAATATTTATAAATATGATTAGTAATATTGTTAATATATAATCCTGTCAAATTGTGACTGTTAGATAGGGTGTTCAAGTGGTGATACTTTTAAGTTTATATAGCAACTCAATTAAGTTTAACGTAAACTTTTATAATTTACATAGTGATGTACTCTCAACAATATTAAAGTAAGATAGCTCGATTAATTTTAAAGTTATAACAATATGTTTATTCACAGTATGAAATAATAAAGAAATAAGAAATAAGAAAATAAGAAAGAAGATAAAGAAAATGTAAGGACTAAAAGTACTAAGTGTGAGGGATTAAACCAGATGCCTTTAAAAGCATTATTAAATGTATATCTAAAAGCAAAATTAAAAGGAAAACTAAAAGTGAACTAAAAGTGAACTAAAGTTTACATGATTTTATCATTCTATATTTATATTAAATTTAATACATAGATGGATATAACAAATAAATCAAATATGTCTAATATATTAAATATATCTAATATATCTGATATATCAGTTATATCAGATATATCAAATATATCCTATATGTCAAATATATCTAATATGTTTGACATTTAGATCTGCAATATATTGTGTTACGTTTGTCAATCCAATCCAGTTACAGTATAGAATCATTAAATTATTAATTTTGTTATTCAATTAATACTAATATATATAAAAAATGAGAGTTTTACTTTTTTCTCTTCTTTTAATATTTATCTTATATAACTATAATAATCATAATTACAACTATAACTTTTTAAAAATTATTGAATAGACTCTATTATCAAATAAAATAGAAATAATTATAATACAAATTTACAAATGTAATTATTAAAAATAAGTTAATTAATACTTATATAATAAATATAATAAATCATTAGTATAATATTCTTTTTTCTTATTATGAATTAACATATTTTGCATTACTTATAAATCAATAGAATGTCAAATCAATAGATCATTCTCTAGTTTATTTATTGAACAACTACTTTAGATAGATTTTAATTAAAAATATACCTATAGAATGGATAGATAATCAACTTCATTTTTAATAAAAAAATAGAAATCTTTTTCTTTATTATAATATATTCCAACTAAAAAGTGTGACTGATCAGCAAATGCGTATGACAAATTACAACTTTTCTGGTATAACTAACAAAAATATACCATTACGTGACTTTTAGCCAGTATTATAAAATTAATTTGTGATAAATAAGGATAATAAATAGGATTTCACATATTGAAAAAATTTCAAATTTATAGAATACTTATGAAAATGAGAATTGCAAAGAGTGTGACACAGTATGACAAATATTTTAATATGTTAATTCAAATGTTGTATCCTGTAAAACTTTTTCTAATGATGTCATATTCAAGAAAAAAGAAAAAATTTCTAACAGGTAAGTGGATGTATTGCATTACTCATAAATATCATTCCACTTATTCGACAAAAAAATAGCTTTTAAAAAGGACATTTAAACCATCAATATTAGTATTTCTTCAAAAAAAAAAAAGAAAAGTCTGAGAAAATAGTATCGTCTCTCTTAAGAGAATCATCTACAAGTAAAGCTTATATATTATGAATATTAATTTGTGAAGAAGTAATTTATTTTTATTGATAATATAGTTTCTATAGAGGGTGTTGAGTCCATGAAATTTTTTTAGCTATGAAAGACATAGAGGTTACTTCAACTCTTCTAAGCATTGAAGAAATCAAAAAGTAGAAACAAGCTAATATTATAAATTTTTTATAGGAGAAAAAAGATGAACTTGATCTTGATGATGAGAATATTGAAATAATTAAAATAAATAAGATTACTGATCAAGCATTCCTTCACTTAACTGAAAAAAAACTTATGCATAATAGTTTACTTCAAAGATCAGCAGAATCAATCGAACATTTGATTGAAACTCTTAAAGATAAAGAAGGTGAATAATATTCTGTTAATTATCGCAATAAACTGTGTGAATACTTAGGAACTGTTTTTTATACTATTTTGTGATATTGTCTTTTCATTTATAAATAATACTAAAGCATAAATATAAGGAATTACTAGAAGTTTTAACTGAAATTATAAAAAGTGCAGTGTGTGAAAAATTTTCTCAGCAATAATCTGATGTAATATCAGTATCAAAGCTTTTTCAATCAAAGATAAGAAAAATTATAAATTATATTAGATTAAAGAGTGTAATAGTAAGTATTTTCTTTCTGTATTATTTAGAGTGTTTTTTTGTTACTTATCATATATCTAGTTTTTAGAGGAAGATTTTCAATCACTTGAACCTATATCATGTTAAGCGTTCATGTAGGATATAAAGAAGGAGGAAGCTCAACAGATGTATGATATTGAGACATAGTTTAAGGTTACATTAGATTTACTAAAAAATTTTCATGTAAGAGATATCCATATGTAAATAAACTATCAACAGCATTTACGAGAAGCTAACGTTACTTTAATGAGTGACACAGATCTTTCTATTGAGCCAAGTAGAACAGCATGTATCTGGATCGAAACTAAGAAAAGTTCTGATGATTTTAAAAAGGTTGAGCCATGAGAGAATTATTCTTAATAGATTTACTTCATCCTATACATGCAATGATCATATTGACAAATTGCAATGATCATTAGATTATTTACTTTTTTATGACAATGGAAGATAAAGAATAATACATAGTAACATGCAAAATTTGTGATTGTAATGTTACTTTAATGATAATTAAACAGTTTATTTGTACTTAAAGAAGGAAAGTTTATTCATATTATATTAGAAAAAAATGTTAATTATAGTATAGACTTGCCTGATCTTTTAAAAAGAAAATAAAATTTCTCAAACGTATACTTGAAGTAGATAATGAGGGCAGGATGGCAGACATGGTTAGTAATATATCAGAACAGGAATTAAAAAATATGACAGCTCATAAAAAATTAATGTTGTTAAAAGATTATTGTAGACTAGATGAACAACCATAAGTGGATTAACTTATTAAGCAGTTTAGTGATAATTATGAAAATTCACTACTAATGATGTTTGCATAACACAAATATTTTTAGATATTAATAAATAGTGACAGTTAATATTAAACATTTTTATTATGCAAATTTATATTCTATTCTTATAATGGCTATTTAGTAAAAGTGTTAACGAAAAAAAAATATAAACAAATAATAAAGTTATACACATTTAGTCTATTTCTTTATAAAAATTTAGTTTTTTTAATATGCAATAACTGCAAAGTAACTATATAATAATATATAATTACTACCTTACTTAGTAGTAACTTAATCGTAGCCTAATAGGTACTATACAGACTGGCATAGTAAAGAAACAAAGTTTCTATAATAAGATTTTTCATATGTATTTATCATGCTAATCAGATCTGCCTTTCAGCTGAAATAAATAGGGCTGATAGAGATCTTGATTTTATTACTAATCTTTGCAGAGAATTAATCAAAAATAAGCATAAGGAATCTATTGATTTTTATTATAACCATTTTTACAAACACGTATTAATGATGTTTTCTAACCTTTTCTTTATAGGATTTATAATTACACAGAACTACCATATATGATTGAATTTCTTAGACTAGGTGCAAATTATATTATATAGTCATGCTTGGTACTTTTATTTCAATTAACTAGTAATGGGATATAAAGCATTACGACTCAAAAATCTAATTAGTATTATAATAGTTTTTTCTAGCTTCGAGATACGTGATCAAGAATAGCCATTAATATTTTTTTTTCAAACTTTCTAGTAGTGGGTTGTGTTTTTAAGAATTTGTTATTCCGTTCATTATTAATTCATTGGAGAATTAATCTAACTAAAATATAAGTACAGTAAAATATCAAAAGTCACTAGACACTTAAAAATTAGAAAATCGATGGAAATTTTGATCTCAAATTAAACTTTTTTTTTTATTAATTTATTCAATTTTTATTAAATAAGTAAAGTTATTCATAATAATGTTTTACATATATTTTAAAGTTTTTATAAAATGTTTAATTAAAAATAAAAATATTTTATTATATATTTAATACAGAATTTTCGAATTTTAATATAAGATTTTAGTTATAATAAAACATTGAAATTATTAGCTGTAATACATTTTTTTGTTCTAAGTAAACTTGTTAAGCATATTAAAAAAATATATTTTTCTAAAATTTCAGATTAATTGCATTTATATTTATTGAGATCATCTTAGTATAGTGAGTTACTAATTATATGTGATGTTAATCATTTTTTCAATTTTGAATCGAAATTTTAAATCAAGTTTTTCCATAACCATCTTATTGATTTGAATAAAAATTTTTTTATTTATTACATTACATTTTATATTTTATATTTCAATAAAAATTTATTTTTTATAATAGTATAGTTTTTATAAAAAAAATGATTACTCAACATAAAGAAATTTCTGATTTTTAACGTGATGAAATAATTGAAAAATGATTAACATTAGTAACTCACTATACCAAGACGATCTCAATGAATATAAATGCAATTAATCTGAAATTTTAGAAAAATATATTTTTAATATGCTTAACAAATTTATTTAGAACAAAAAAATATATTACAGCTAATAATTTCAATATTTTATTATAACTGAATTCTTGTATTAAAATTTGAAAATTCTGTATTAAATATATAATAAAATATTTTTTATTTCTAATTAAACATTTATAAATACTTTAAAATATATATAAAATATTATAATAAATAACTTTACTTATTCAATACAAATTGATTAAATTAATAAAAAAAAGTTTAATTTGAGATCAAAATTTTCATCGATTTTCTAATTTTTAAGTGTCTAGTGACTTTTGATATCCTACTGTATAAGAGGTTTACCTTGATTAATAATTTTTGCAACTAATACTAATTATTGTTTTTATAGGTAAAGCAGAAATATCAATTGACTGATATGATTATGCTTACATAATCCCTATAGAAGAATTAGATTCTTGGATCACTATAAATTATATAAAAGAAGATATCACCTTTTAATCTATTTTGCACAAGTAAACAAATGAAACTACTTTTTACCTTCATCAATCAATTGAATAAGGGAAAAATCCATAAACAAAAATAAGATATGTTGAAGATGCTTTTACTAAGATTTTCTTAATTTACGCTAATCCTTCTTTTAGCTTCATAGATGATTATATCAAATTTTCTATTCTTGATATTTGCTGAATATCTATACATGTGATGATTAGTAAAATTGTATTACCTGATTTCTAAAATTATGTATCACATTTGCATGGTGAATATAATAAAAATTAAAGCAAAACTTAATTTTCTCAATCTGATTTCGATATGGAATCAGGGAGGATAGTATGATCTTGATACATAAAGATAAGAATTCAGAAAAGGTGTCATTTATACAATCCAGTCTATTTGCTTTAACTAATTTTACTTCAAGATCAAAATCCTGGATATAGCTTTACTTAATAATTTTTCTTAGTTTTTAAAATAATACTACAGGCGAGAATAATTAGTTAAGTAAAGTGAGAGTGAAAATTGGTCTACTAAGGTAATTTCTTTCAAAAATCAAACAGATTATGTTAGAGCTAAACTTAGTATAAATTTTTTGTGAATCTAGTAAATAGAAAAAATGTAGATAGAAAAATAAATATCATTAGTAGATCTAGTGAATCTAAAGAATAGAAATGCACTATTTAGAGAATTTTCTCAGCAGGACTTAAATCTGATATATTATATTTCTTCTCAAAGCCCGTAAATATATTTTATTTTCTATTTTTCTAGTAATAGCTGAAATATATAATATCATTAAATATAATAAATTTTTACTCATTCAGGTTTTAATTTTTATCTTGTGTAAAATTAAAATCAAAAAAAATAATAATGAATTGCAAAAACATTTTAGTTTTGAGTTTATTCAATAAGACTAAACTCTCGAAGATGCTCTGAAATAATTATATATAGGTTTTTATAATACTAAACATATTTTAGAGCAATTCAGTTCTTTTCGCATAATTCTTTCTTAAGTTGATCCTGTGCTTGCTGTTTGATAAAATTATTGAGATCACCATTATGAAAAAATCTATATATCTTTGTGTTGTTTTTCTTACACTTCAATTGCGAATCTATATTGTGAGTAATAAATGTCAAGTTCTAATCCAGTTGGATATTCTAAAGTTTTTAAGAAATTAGACTGGTGTATTTTAAACAATCTAAGTTATTTTGACGTAATCTCTCAACACAAATTTTCTCTTTTATATTTTGAGTAGTAGGAATACCATGTATTATTATTTTTTACATAAGAAAATCTAGCATACCATTGATGATTTTTACTGCATTGCCAGAGTAACTGACGATTACAATTAACATAAATATCTATTAAATAATCTCCACCTTGACTATATGCAATGGCTTTAGCTTTCGAAATTCTAAGTTTTATGTTAAAGTATTAGGAATACCAAAAGTTACTATATTTTATATTAGCAAAAGTGCTATACCAAATATAATTTTATACATTCTAAAGCAAATGTATTTAATGTTAATATATGTAATAGATAAATACTTTTCATTTTATTTTGTGCTAATTCTTTAGCATATTCAATATCAAGTCTTTCAGATTTATGATGATAATGTATCCTTTTTATACTACTAATTTTGGCAAGCCATGATTGTCCTTTAGAACAACTTCAAGATAATTGACAAAATTTATTGCAGTAAGAATTAGAAAGACAAAACCCTTCTTTTCTGTATCAAGTTTTTGAGCAAATTCAAGACCAAGTTTTTTACTCTTGTTTTTATCAGATACAAAATTGATATTCATTTTCACATTTCAACAAGAGTAAATATAAAAATCATATGATATAATTTTAACTAATTAAAAATCAGATTTATAACTATCGCAGAAATTAGTGATACAAATAAGGTTGCTGAATATCTAAATGGTAAAAGGTTAAATTTAGTGAAATTATATTAAAACCTTATTAAAAAATCTGTGAAATTCTAAAACAAAGTTTATAAAAATGCAAAATTTAAATTTAAACATTTTTCCAAATCCAAAATAAGTTTAAATAAGTAACCTTAAAGTTAGCATTTAAATATCTAATTTATGCAATTCTAATAATGGTTAAAATTATAATTGTAATATTACTTTACTTAGTTTTTCTATGTTATTGATATAATTTTATTTATATAAATCAATATCTTAATATTTCAATAAGTTCAAAAAACTCTTTTCATCAATTACTAAAATTAAAAAAATGATAGGAAAAAAAACCTTTTAAAATAACAACAATAATACTTGCTCTTCTTCACTAAAAAATGACCAATAATAATGCCTTACAAAGAAATAACATATTGAATTAACAAAACAAATAGAATTCTCAACTGCTAGTAAAAGTTCTTCTAATTACTCTATTGAAAATATAAAGGTTGAAACCTCTTTAACTCTTAACCTTAATAAAGGAAAAGATCTAGAGACCACCAATAATGATAGAAAAGCTTTTTAGATAAAGACCAAGCTTTAGACACTTTAAAAATATTCTTAATAACAAACAAAATAATAAAAGTAATATCCACTTAGAGCGAGAAATGAAAGCTCTAATTTTTTTACTTATTGCGTCATAAAAAAATTCTACTCTAAAAAATCTAACAGAAATAAATAAAATAAGGTATATTATATTTTTGCATTACATTACTCATCCTTCATTAGTATATCAATCCGCACTTACCTTGAGAATTTAACAAAAAAAATCATCTGAATTGGTTTTATCTCACATGCTAAAAGTTTTCTATGCTATTTGATATAATTTTATTTATATAAATCAATATTTTAGTATTTTAACAGGTTTAAAAAACTCTTTTCATTGATTATCAAAATCAAAAAAATAACAGGAAATAAAACTTTTTGAAATAACAACAATAAGTCAAACAATATTTGTTCTTTTTTACTAAAAAATGACCAATAACAATGCTCTGTAAAGAAATAAC